CGGGTTAAGAACTTTGCTTCAGGATGAGAACTGAAATCACTTGGTGGCAGCGGGAGGCCCCATTAGCTAAAGTGGTGCTTCAGGTTAAGAACAGTTTCAGGTTAAGAACAGACCTCCAGAACGAATTAAGTTCTTAACCCGAGGTACCACTGTATTGAAATAAAAAAGGACGGTAAGAAACTTTTCCTTGTCTTTATACTTTCCTAGGCAACCAGCCGGGAGCCGCTGACACCATCCTGACAGTTGTCCCACCACCTTCAGATTCAGATGGTGGCCAGCCCTACCGTTTGACAGAGTGAGGCAACCGCCTTAGGTGGCAGGAGCTGCGGGAGACAATGGTGGCTGCTTCCCAGCTATTGCTCTGGAGCTCCCTTGGCTGTACTCCTGCCCTGTTGGAGAACAGAGAACAGACCTGGCCCATCTGAGCAAGATGCCCTGAGTGAGGCCTCACCCTGTCCATTCCCTTTCTCTCTTCCACCAGGCCCAGCAAGAGGGAGGAGAGTGGAGTCTGCTGTTTCTTCTCCTTGCTCCTGGTCTCTGCAAGAGAGGCAGGTGAACAGGCTGTGGCAGCAAGGGAAGGATCAGCAGGGCTAGAGGATGCCGGGGCTTGACAAAGGGCCTCCTGTTGATGCAAAGGTGCCCATTCATGCCAAACCGTGGTGCTGACTTTATCAATTAGGGTTAGAAGCTATGGCTGGGGATAGCTTGTGTTAGCAAGAGCCAGTGGGGACAACTCCTTTCCTAAAGTGAATCTCCCATGACCTTTGATGTGGGTGTTTGGAGTCTTTGGGGGGAAATAGAATGCATCCAGCAACACTTCAAAAAATAATAATGCAGGGCTGGCTGATTTGATAAGACAAAAACCAAAATATATAATCCAGAAACAATGGAAATGTTTAAATGATTGTTTATGTAGACAAGGATTAAATGTAAGGTATTGGTTGTGTTTAGAATAGATTTATGAAAGATTTAGAAAACTTATTGATTAGAATATTTGTGTGAGATTGTATGGGGAAAATACGGAATAACAGATACAATCTTGCTTAAAATGTATATAGGAAGTGCAGTGTAAGCGATGGAAGTCAATCAACGAAATTTTATTATTATTTTCATATTGAGATATTTGTAGAATAAACTTGGAAGAGATTCTTCCAACTTTTCTTTTTTTCCTTTATTTTTCTTCTTTTTTCTTTTCCTCTTTTTTTCCTCTTTTGTTCCTTTTTTCATATATATGTGCTTATTTGAAATATATATGTATGTATGTATTTGCAATATTTTGCTTATACAGTGGTGCCTCACAAGACGAAATTAATTCGTTCCGCGAGTTTTGTCGTCTTGCGATTTTTTTCATCTTGCGAAGCACGGTTTCGGAAAAGTTTTGGAAAAGCTTCAAAAATCACCAAAATCTTCAAAAACCTCAAAAAAGGCTACCACACCGTGTGCTATGAGTTGCTCCTCGAAGTCAAGTTGCAACTGTATTAACGGTGTTAAGAAAAAGGAAACAAACTTGCAAGACGTTTCCGTCTTGCGAAGCAAGCCCATAGGGAAAATCGTCTTGCGAAACAGCTCAAAAAACAAAAAACCCTTTCATCTTGCAAGTTTTCGTCTTGCGAGGCATTCGTCTTGCAAGGTACCACTGTATTTTGTAACAATCATGTTAAAATTTTTTTTTTGAAAAATGCAGGGGTGTCAAAGAGATAAAAACTGATTGCAATGCCTTCCTAAGTTTTTTTTTCCTGAGGTTGAAGACAGACAGACATCAAAAAGAAGCTCTTTGCATTGTGAATAATGCTTTGAACTCTTTTTTTAGTGAACATCCAAATGTCACCTATCGGCGAACCTATTGCTTGTAGGAGTCACTGTTTGGTGCTCCATTATGGCCAGCCTTTTCCATTCCCCCCTTTCGTCCCTGGGAGTCCTACTGCCAATTTCCTGAGACAAGAAGAGATTGCACCGCTTCTATCTCAGGCACTTTTTTTTGTTTGTTTTGTAATAGCTCCGGATACACAACTAAATTATATTTGCTCTTGAGGGACACTTTCTTTCCCAGCAGCAGTAGGTGCCGGAGGTGGCAACTGTTATGTACTGAAGTTCTCACCCTGGGCTAGCAGGGGGATCCTGTAGATAATTATGCAAATAAGGGATCGAAAGTGACGTTCAGTGATTGGATAGTTTCAGAAAGTTGTTACAGTTACTCTGTACAGGAGCTCTATATAAGCAGGCTGGCTGAACCCTGCTGTTCAGTTCTGTCCTGGCCTGTGAATAAACAAGAGCTGTTTGAAGAATCGCTGTGTCGTCTGATATGTTCACCCACAACTTAACAGCAACAAAGAGGCATTTCCTTTCCTCACTTACCGTCTTGAACCTTACTCCCGCTGCTGCCTTTTCCTCCTGTTCAGGAAAGGAAGCACCTTGCAGCAAAACCCGTGGACCAGGAGCAAGTTTGCACCAACTAGTCCTGCCCCCGCTGCCCATTGACCTGTCTGCTGGCCCTCCCACCCACACATTCAACATTTGTGTGAAGGGGATGGCTTCAGTATTGGATTACGGCAATGCACTCCCTTGTGCTTGAACCGGAAGCTGTGGTTAGTGAGGAATGCTGCAGCATGGTTGCTGATAGGAGTGAGATTCTGTCAGCAGATTACACCCCTGCTCAGAGATCCGCACTGATGGCCATCTACTTACCAGGCCAAGTTCAATGTGTTATTATTGGTATATAAAGCCCTAAACGGCTTGGGACTTGTTTACTTGCAGAATCGCTTTGCCCCGCCTCTGCCCAGTTAAGCACTTATATTCAAACCGCCTTTGTAATAAAACAATCTTTTGGTGTGGCAACACCTACACCTGCCAATTGACATCAGGCAAACACTTCACTGTACAGTGGTACCTCAGGTTACAGACGCTTCAGGTTATAGACTCCGCTAACCCAGAAATAGTACCTCGGGTTAAGAACTTTGCTTCAGGATGAGAAGAGAAATTGTGCGGCGGCAGCGGGAAGGCCCATTAGCTAAAGGGGTACCTCAGGTTAAGAACAGTTTCAGGTTAAGAACCGACCTCCAGAACGAATTAAGTTCTTAAACTGAGGTACCACTGTATTCTTTCCGGTGCCTTCTTAAATTAATTTTGTTTTGGCAAGCCTATCCCTGACATGTAGATCTTGGTGTGTTTCAGTCTTTTTTTTTTTTTTCACGTTGATTTTTAATTATCATTAAATGACTATTTCCTGTAAACCACAAAGAGATTTTACAACAATCGCACAGCACATAAATGCTGTTCAATAAATAACGTGCACCCATGGAGCTTCTCCATATGAGCAGCAATGCTTGCCAATCAGGGATCCCAGTCACGTGGGAAAGCTGGATGAAAGTGAGCAGGCAGAACCTCCTCACACTCATGCCAAATTTGTGGCTGCTGGGGGAGTGGCATGCAAACATGTTAGACACAACAATAGTGAAGATGTCCTCACCCCCCCCCTTCATCCTCTGTATTCACTGAGCACATGGGGTGAAGTGTTCTTTGAAAACTCCTACAGATGCACTAAAAAGAGTGCTGAAAAATACTCCCAATGCTGTGAGCTGCCTTTTGAATACTGCAGGCCTAATTTAACTGCAACCGGGGGGGGGGGAATTGCACCAAATTCATTGAATTATATATAAGACTTTGAATACGGAGTGTGGATTTCCAAGAGCTGTGTTTGAAGTATGTTTTCCTTCCCTTCATTTCTGTTTTCTTCTTTTCTAGGCTGCAATTAGCCCTCGGGTTTCAAAAATTACAAAAATGGTGAGATGAAAACACCCAACACTGAAATGGCAAAAGTCTCTGATGCATAGTAAAAACTAAATATTGCCTTCAATATTTCAAAATGCCTAACTTAAATATTGTCAGATGTTGCCATTGTTATTTTTAAGATGCGGATATCTAAGAGTCTCTTCCTCTTTGATTCCCCCAGACCAAATCCTTATTAGACTTACCAGATGCTCCCAATACCAAGAAAATTGTCGCCAGATTATACTTCAAGAATGCAAGCATTCTCTACTTTAAGAATGCAAGGGTCTTTCAAAATCCACTAACCCCCTTGGGATCTTCCAGACTCCACAGTTTTCATCATCCCTATGAATTCTCCTCTTTAGTCTCATCCCAAACCAACGTATGATGTCCTGCCAGTCTCCAGAGTTTCCTATCCACTGGAGAGTTCAAGGTTTGTCCTTCATTCCAAAAAATCACAAGCTAAGAAGACAATAATTGGTGTTCCTTATCTCAGAATGCTCTAGCTCTATATAGACCAGAGCCTTATAGTGAATCCTATTTCTGACATATTCATCAGGCAAAATCCTAACCCCAGCCAGCCCCTGTCCCTCTCGTTCTCCCATTCAATAGGTTTTGTTGGAAGGAAAAGGCGATAGAGGACCTCACTTCTTCCAAGTGGTCTAACACAAGAGACTCCTCCCTCTAGTCTTTCAACAACACTCCAAAAGCTCACACTGCAGATGCACAAGGACCCAGACGATCCTTTGCTCTGTGGTGTGTGTATTCTTTTAGCCATCACAGCCACCATTGTCCTGAAGGCTGGCAAGCTATTGTTCCGAACGTGTCAGGGGTAGAGGCGGTACAAACATCGCCAATGTCAATCTCAGAGCGAACAACAGCCTAGAGGACAATGCCTCCCTTGACACACACATATCAAGCTGCTTCATTCACTGTTTCCCCTCATTATACATGCCTTTCCATTAGCAAAGGACGGTGACCCCAATTCAAGGATTGCTGAGAGATCTGTTCAGCTACCTGACAAGAGCTTCGTTCTCACATTCGATTACTCCTGCTTCCTGGAATGGCAGCCAGCTGTAATTTTTGTTTTGCAGGCGTTCATGCAGCTGCTTAACCACTGTCCTCCCATTTCACTGTGCTTCAACAGCGTACTTCTGCCCAAGCTTGCCAACGATTATTTCATCTTATGATTCATGGACGGGAAAGGGGGGGGAGATACAAATCCAAGGAAGTACCTCTGTGTCGGAGACGTTGCCGTTTAGCACCTCGATGTTAGGATCCCTCCAGTCTTCGGTGATGGATGGGATGTAATTGTCTGTAAGAGCATCCCAAACCCTGGAGAGAGAAAAGGCAAGAGGTTGTTAATGGAGGAAAGCTGCCTTGACAACAGGGGTGCACCCCTCGGAGCAATTGGCTCAGTGGGCAGCGTTCAAAAGAGAGCAGGAGGAAAATAAGAGCCACAAAGCCGCCACATCCAGTTCAGCTGAATGGCCCCAGTCACAAACAACCACTAAACTGCCTATGATGTCCAAGGTCAACACAGTGCTGTAGTTGATCTGAACTGAATTCTCTTTGCTGAGATCGAATTCAAAAACATTAAATGACAGGAGGGGTTCTAATTCAGTTTTAACATGAAAAATATTCAGCCTATGAAACAATGGTTTGGATCAAAAAGCTGCCCTTCTGATAGCAAAAGGTGTCTTTCATATGCAGAAAGGTCCTTTTGCCTCAGCAATGGGCAGAAGGTAGACTGGGATCTACTGGCAGACTCTGGGAGGTTTGCAGTAGATCAGCAAAGGTCTGAGACGTCTGCTATTTTTGGCTGCCCAATTGGAACAGACTGGAAGTTCTTATGCAACAAACCTACTTCCCCCCTAATTTTGGACTTTTTGCGATAAGGGAAATGACAGGGAAATGCACTCAAAACTAGTCTAACACTTGATTTGACACAATATCATCTAATCTCCCAGCAAACAAGTTAGAATGAATGCTCTTTAAATAGCTAACCTTGTCTAACCTTCCTGCAAAAAATTGGATGAATGGTCAACAAACAGGCCATACAAAGTGCCCAAAATGACTAAATTAGGCTACTGAAATGACAAAAGTTTAGGTAATCAGAAGTAGACTTGTGTGTGAAAGCCTGAGCTCAGTTCTGGTAATGAAAGCAAATTTATAGGCTCATCATTTCCTCAAGGGCAGCCAGTTCCTTAATTCTAACTGAATGTCTTTTGTACTTGGCTCTGCCTGGTAGAATTTTGGGTTCTAGATCAAACAAGATTCAACTCTGCACATCCCTGTTTCACACCTCATGCAAGAGCATTGTGTGAGGAAAAACAACACGCAATCTAACAACTTTCTTCCACTAGCACAAGACAAGAAGCAGCCAAAGATCTGCTACAGAACCTCCATATTTTGCAACTAAGAGAACTGTGAGCATAATGAAGTTCTTTAGATGCAGCCAATTGGTTGCAATCATTAAAATGCTTGCTTCCAAACACTCTATTCAGATTAACCCTGCCATTCCAAAAGAGTAGAGTAAACAATAAGTTTTCTTAACAGTACCAGTAGACCAGTCACTATGATTCTTGTTTTAACAGACATGAGAATTGAAGCAGAGAAATCTTGGCATATTTTGGTTTGATGCCTGATCCCCCAAAGAAGGCAGTAAGGCAGGTCAGGAATTGCAGAACCACAGATAGCTCCAAGTGAGCAACTTGCCCATCTAAGGTTGAGATGCAGGCAAAGCATCTCTAAGATTCTAACCTCAAGGGGAGGGACTATAACTCAGTACATGAATGCACGCTTTTCCTGTCAAATGACAAGTTCAATCCCTGGCATCTCCAGTTGAAATTGTCAAGCAACTGATGATGGGGAAACACCTTCTGCCCCAAACCCTGTCAATTTGCACCCTTGTTAAAATCAGCTACAGCTAAAGCTCTTAGGAGCGCTCAGCCCAAGCTTGCTTTCGTCATTCTTGTATCTGAATTGTTTCCCAGTGGCGTCTCCCACCACTAGACCATTCAGTGTGTCATTGTTTGGCGGCATCCCCAAAGCAGATGGCTTGCGGGAAACAGCTTCTGATAAACTTGAATGTCACCTGCTGCAAACCAATCCAAAACCGGATGCTTGGGCCTTGGTACCCAAAGCCCAGAACGTTCTCTCCAACGTTCAGAACTTCCTGCTTGTTACCTGGCACTTGCCACCTCTGCTTCTCACACCCCTGCTGCCGCCACATGACTTGTTTGCAGTGAAACAGCCCAGCACCTGCCATGTTTGTTTCTATAGGACCACTACTTTGATCATGCACACATGTGCAAAGTAACATGCAGGACCAGCATGGGCATGGGCATGGCAGCAGGACCCATATAACATATAACACAAGGGGGAGCGATATGCTGACCCCAACCTTATATACAACTTGATCACAAGAATTTATCATTTAGGTTATTCTGTCTAGATCTGAATTTTTCAACCATATGTTGTTGGACTATGACTCCCCTCATCCTCACACAGTTTAGCCAGTTATTAGGGATGATGGGAGTTGTAATCCAACAACATCTGGGAGCACAAGGGTGAAGAACATTGGTCTAGATGATGTGGCGAGCTCATCACTGATAACTCATAAATGTGTCATTTCTATGCCTAAGTGGCTATCTTGATGGCATATATAAACAGCTCAGGACCACAATACTTCAAGGACTGTCTCTTCCCATATGAACCTATCCAGACCCTGAGATCATCTTCTGAGGCCCTCCTTCGTGTGCCTCCTCCTCGAGAGGTCCAGAGAGTGGCAACACAAGAATGGGCCTTCTCTGCAGTGGCTCTCCGTCTGTGGAATGCTCTCCCCAGGGAAGTTCGCCTGGCGCCTTCATTGTACACCTTTAGGTGCCAGGCAGAAACGTTCCTTTTTAACCAGGCCTTTGGTTGATCTGATTTACATCCTATGCCAGACATGTCCAAAGTCCGTTTCAGGGGCCGAATTCGGCCCGCCGGTCGATTTAAACTGGCCCGCATGGTAGTATATGTCTTGGGGTAAAATCCCAAAAAAAGCTCAATCTTAAAAAAACCTCAACAACTTTGGTCGGCCCTCATGTATGTTCACTTCATTAAATCTGGCACTCTTTGAAAAAAGTTTGGACACCCCTGAATGCCCTTTAAAATGTGGGGGGGGATGCTATTGGGTTGTTGTTTTTATTTTTATTATGTATTTTGTGGTTTTATATCTTGATCTTATTTTGTGAACTGCCCTGAGACCCCTGGGTATAGGGTGGTATATAAATAATAATAATATTAATATTAATAATAATAATAATAATAATAATATGATGATGATGATGATGAAGAAGAAGAAGAAGAAGAATTGGTATAAGTAGTAGCATTTTTTTCAGATCATTGTGCCCAGTCAACTACACTGCTGAGGCATCTTCCAAAGCTCTGATATCCAATTGTCAGCTCCCCGCCACGCATTCTCCCCTCTGTCTTCAGTGCTTTCATACAAAGCTCGACTGGGGCTCTGCAGGTAGCAAGAACAGTCAGAGGCGCCAGGTTGCCACCAAAATTGAGGGGGCCGGCAGTCAATGTCACACACATTGTGCACATTTGTGAGGAGGAGCTGGCCACTGGACCTGCGATGCACAACACACAACATACGCAGGGCCACCTCAGGATTGGCCCAGCCCCCTTAAAACAAATATTGAGGGGGCTGAGGTGTCTTCGGCCCCCTAGAGTTGGTGTGTCTGACAGCAGTAGTAAAAAATATGGTCCTACTTGAGTCCCCCCTCTAACATTTAGGTGCCTAAGCAATTCTCTTCTTTAGATGCAGAATCATTAGGAAATGTTTTCTTGTAGGTACATAAAAGGAAGCCAGTCTCTGCCCAAGTCTTCTAGGTACAGAGACACAGCTCACATTCATCTTTATGGAAGCATTGGCACAAAAAGATTGAAGGGAAAGAAGCCCTAGAACAATAATACTAATGAAAATGCATTTGACATGATGTGCCCACCCACACAGGCATCGAAAATATACTCGTGCCTCTTTTTAATTTCCAAATATTTATCATCCACGAGCCAAGCTGTTCAGGGTTTAAAAATATATATTCTCATGTAGTTCATCCATACTGGGACTGCAACTAGGGTGGCTGCTAACACTTCATCCCCAAAAGAAGGAAATGCATCACACACCCAAAAGGCAAACATTTGCGTGCAATTTAGACGTGCTAATTTATATGCAGATTTAGAAAGGATTTCTATCATTTAAATAGAAATACAATATATTTCACCAGCGCAGTTGTAAGATATCAATCTTTTAGTATGCCAACATCCTCACTGTGGAACTCCCTGCCACTTGATATTAGACAGGAACCTTTGCTGTACTGTTTTTTGCTGCCTGCTTAAAACATTTGTGTTTAGGCAATCCTATCCAAGCCCACAGATGTCGACATGTTTTAATCTCTCTTCCTGTTAATTTTAGTTTTAATGTTTTCAATTAACTATTTTCATAACAGTAATTACCATCTCTTGCAAACTGCTTGGGGCATGTAAATTTTCTTAAATCGGTAAGTGGAGCAGGTGACCTGGAGGCCGACTAAAATTGCTGGGCAGATTAACATAGTACATTTAAGCATATTCAATGCACATTTAAAACACATGACTTCTCCAAAGAATCCTGGGAACAACACCCTCAGTACCCAACAAATTATCTGGGAGAAACCATGGCTGTTCAAAAGTGGTATCATAGCACTTTAAATGTGACTGCGGCTGTAATTTTCTTTAATTCCTACTATTTTTGTTGCTGTTAAGCACTTAAAATTTGGGGGAAAGTGGGCTTTTCAAGGACAGATCCAGCTTTGACCACTGCCGTGCCTGACATTCTGCCAACTCCACTTGCGGATGTTCCACCCACAGCAGCGGATCCAGGGGACTTGGTTTCAACGCCACCTAGGGTCACGCCACAGCCTCAGGAAGGATCGGGCGGCCCCCGGACCTGGGTACCGGTCCCCTGCAGTCTGGCAGAGTTTCCAAGCGCCCAACTTATTTAAAGGACTATGTTGTTGGACATGTAACACTGTTGGTCTAATGGAAGCATGTGAAATGTAACCGATATGCTTTTGTGCCTAATTGAACCATTACGTGTAGTGCTGTATATAAGGAAACCATTACGATTGTAACTAACGCCTTATCTCGGTGGGGAGGGGTGTTATGTACTGAAGTTCTCACCCTGGGCCAGCAGGGGGATACTGTAGATAGTTCAGGTCCACATATGCAAATAAGGGATCGAAAGTGACGTTCAGTGATTGGATAGTTACAGAAAGTTGCTACAATTACGTTGTTCTGGAGCTCTATATAAGCAGGCTGGCTGAACCCTTCAGTTCAGTTCTGTTCTGGCCTGTGAATAAACAAGAGCTGTTTGAAGAATCACTGTGTCGTCTGATATGTTCACCCACAACTTAACAGGACCCTCCTTTTCTATGTTCCCTCCCCACAATGGTCAGTTTTCTGCAGACGCTGGGTGTGCTAAGTCCTCACTGGTTGGTTTGTCTTGATTTTTTTCCCCTTCAAGGTATTTTTTTCTCCTTCTGCAAATTTTAGGGTTCCCTTTAGCGTGCCTCTTGTTTCCCAGTTGCCCTGTTTTGGCTGCAGAAGCATTACAATTCAGCCTTCATCGTATCTCAGCGTCTGAGTTCACAATTAATATCTATTATCTGAACGTCGATAGACTTCTCCATGATTTTTCTCTTGGTGCTCTTCTTGCCACACAAATTATTAAACTGGGGGACAGGTCACACAGCACAGATGACCACTTCCCTCAAACCAGAGGGCTGCACATCGTTTAAATCAGAGGTCAGCAACCTTTTTCAGCTGTGGGCCGGTCCACCGTCCCTCAAACCATGTGGTGGGCCGGACTATATTGTGGAAAAAAATATGAACAAATTCCTGTGCCCCACAAAGAACCCAAAGATGCATTTTAAATAAAAGGACACATTCTACTAATGCAAAAACACGCTGATTCCCGAACCATCCGCGGGCCGGATTTAAAAGGCGATTGGGCCGCATCCGGCCCCTGGGCCTTAGGTTGCCTACCCCTGGTTTAAATGCATCTCATATTATTACACAATCACAATGGTATCGGCATAATATTTGTGCAGACAGCTGATACGGAGGAAGCATCTTCACTGTTTTGACAGCCAAAGCAAACCTAGGATCCTTTTCGTGGAAGGAAGCATAAATTCTCTTTGTTTTGTACTACAACGGCCAGATTTTCATTTGCTTTTTCTTTCAGCTGCTGAATCTGTTGCTTCCCTGTTTGGCTCCTTGCAGCTGGCAGAAGTCTCCCCCCCCCACCCCACCCTTGGCTTAACCCCATCAATGTTTTGCCTCTCCTGAATAGACACGTTGTTTACTAGTATAGAGACATATCAGAAGAACCTCATGTTTTCCCAAAACTCAGTTACACAAAACACCTTATTGTCCAATAGGAGTGCTCCCACTCCAGGAGAAATCAGTGAGGAAACACACATCTTTCCCCACGGAACTTTATACCAATGGAACTAGTCCTCATGGAGCAAGCCCCCTCTCTTTTCTTATTACAGTGGTACCTCGGTTCTCGAACGTAATCCATTCCAGAAGACCGTTCTAGTTCCAAAACATTTGAAAACTAAGGCGCCAAAGGGCTGTCTGCAAATTCAATTGAGAAAATTGAAAAATACACAGCAGAAGCCATTCAATTTCTGAGGCGCATTAAAAAATGGAAGCATTCATGATTCTGGGTTTTCAGCATTCGGGTTCTGAAACATTTGTCAATGGAAACATTCAAGAACCGAGGTACCACTGTATTATTATTATTATTATTATTATTACAGTGGTACCTCGGGTTACATACGCTTCAGGTTACATACGCTTCAGGTTACAGACTCAGCAAATCCAGAAATAGTGCTTCAGGTTAAGAACTTTGTTTCAGGATTAAGAACAGAAATCGTGCTCCGGCGGCGCGGCGGCAGTGGGAGGCTCCATTAGCTAAAGTGGTGCTTCAGGTTAAGAAAAGTTTCAGGTTAAGAACGGACCTCCGGAACGAATTAAGTACTTAACCTGAGGTACCACTGTACTATGGGACGCGGGTGGCGCTGTGGGTAAAAGCCTCAGCGCCTAGGGCTTGCCGATCGAAAGGTCGGCGGTTCGAATCCCCGCGGCGGGGTGCGCTCCCGCTGCTCGGTCCCAGCGCCTGCCAACCTAGCAGTTCGAAAGCACTCCCCGGGTGCAAGTAGATAAATAGGGACCGCTTACTGGCGGGAAGGTAAACGGCGTTCCGTGTGCTGCGCTGGCTTGCCAGATGCAGCTTGTCACGCTGGCCACGTGACCCGGAAGTGTCTCCGGACAGCGCTGGCCCCCGGCCTATAGAGTGAGATGGGCGCACAACCCTAGAGTCTGTCAAGACTGGCCCGTACGGGCAGGGGTACCTTTACCTTTACCTTTACCACTGTACTATTATTATTTATTGAATTTATATACCACCCTATACCCCGGGGGTCTCAGGGCAGTTCACAGAATAAAAGCAAGATATGAAACCACAAAATACCTAATAAAAATAAAAACAACAACCCTTTTCTGAAGTAAGAACAGTGTTGTGTTCCAAGAAAAAGAGGTGCTGAAACTCACCTCCCTCGTTCTCTTACAGTGGCAATGGCGCCCACCTGAGAGGTGCCAGAACTAAGTTCCAGTGAGTTCCGGCTGAAAAAAACCCACTGAGTAAGAGCTATGGGAAACACCCATGGACCTCTCAGGTATGGTCCCATTTCAGATGCAATGACCTTGCTTATTAGCTGAAGTTTGCTGCTTCTGAACCAGACTGTTTCCAGGGATGCTCACCTCTTCTGATGTTGTGGATGTGAGGAATATAGGAAGGGGTTGAATCACATCATATAAGAACAGGCCACCAATATGTTTGCATTTGCTAATATATATGTGCACAAATGGAAAGTTAGGAGCAGCTAATAATTTCAACGGAAATGCAACACCTCTCTCCACAGTGCAGAAGATCGTGGTGCTAACTCTTGATAGGCAACTTCAAAGCACCTTCTTGTGGTCCTTTAACCTTCAAAACCTCACCACCCAGACTTGGACCAAACAGCCCATTAACAGCAAACTCCTTCGAAAGCGGGACTGTCCTTTGACATCTTTCAAATATATGCTGCTTTTTCATATAATAAACGTCTGGCTCCTCCAGCCCCTCCAGAACTACAGTTCCCAGAGTTCCCAGGCAACTTTCCCCGGCTGCATCAGGCCAATGGCCCATCCAGCCCAATAGCAACTAAAGCCCATATTTATGTTCTTGTTGTTACTATTAGTCTTTTTCAGTGGTGGCTGGTGTCATGGCACAAGAGTCACCTTCTCAACACTGGCATCGTGAAGCTTACTTGGACATAGCAGAGGCAGAGAGTTCAGGCCTGCACAGAGGCATCAGCTAAGCCAACCTGGGGCACCTGTTGTGGCATCTGCACACCACATGCCCCTGTCGCCCTGCCCTATCACAGTCCTGCCATCCACAGCTGTATCAGTAGTGGGAGGGCGGTTCTGCCCTGCATTTTCCTGCGTTTCTTGTACTGCATTTCTATTTAAAGGGACTTGAAGCAGTGTGTGGGTGGGGAGGGGAGGGAAAACTAAAAATGAAATGAAATATTTCTAATGACGTCTTTAGGTGTTTTCCAAACTTCTTACAATGTACCTTGCAAGGGCAGCATGGCCTGAATGCAGGCAAGAAGGGTCTTTCAGTAAATAAATAAATAAGGCAATATGGTAGAGATCAAGAACCTGGTTTAAATTAGAGAGCAAAATGAAGAAAAGCACGGGAAGCAGAGGGAAAGAAAGAAAAGGGAGTGGCAGAGAGAGAGGGTCAACTTGCCCACTTTGGGTTCTAGCCCTGAACACTGCCTGTCTGCGGCCTTCAAGAGCAAAAAGGTTTCCTTGGCCTTGTGATGTGGCACTTTCTTCTCTCTTCTTTTAGAAGTTTGGGTTTTTACGTTTACAAATCTGCTCTATGAAGAGCGGGGAGTGATAGCCAAGGGCCAACCAACCAGCACTTGAGAATGGAAGAAGTGGTTTTATGTGACTGGTGCAGAGGCTTAGCCAATCAGTGTTGTGCAACTCCAGATTCTGCACAGAATCAAAATGAAACAGGTTCCCTCTAGAGTTTACTTTGAAGGAATGGGAAAATAGTAGAGTTGTGGTTTTTTTTCTAAATAAGAGCTTACTGCTGACACTATTTAACTTCTGTGTTTACTTACTACTTCTGACCATTAATCTACTTACTCCTCATCCTGCAGGTTTTCCTCCTCTTCTTGTATCTGGAGCTGGTTTTTCACAGGGGCCAAGTTTTCAGTTTTGGCATTGTAATTCCGAAAGCAGACATTGAGCTTCTCGTCAAATTCATTGACCAAATCTTCCATGGACTTGAAGCTGATGATCTCAGAGGAGAAGTTCTCAAGCTCAGAAAGGGAGGGGTCTTCCAAATGCCGAGGAGAGGAGCCATAAAAATAATGAGATTTCTCTTCCCGGTCTTCAATGTAGCACGGCCTCAGATCTTCGAACTCTTCATCCAGGCTTACCAGAGGGGCTTCCATCTTAGGTAGCCTAGTGGAAGAGGGGAGACTTCTGGAACACAAAGGACATTAATGAGCCAATAGCAATAGACATTCATAGCCATAGGCATGTGTCATTGTAGCATCAGAAATGAGTTACTCTCTAGGGTAGGAACTTTTCAGGATGGAGCATTTCTGCAACAGCAGCAAATAAGGAGGACCTCAACTCCCTAGTGCTGTGTTGGTATAAACACTAGGATTACAATGGGTTTAAGACCCAGACAACCCAGAAGGCATTTCCCCTCCCCATCTCCCCAAACAGTACTTCTGTCTTGTCAGGATTCAACCTCAATCTGTTAGCCACCATCCATCCTCCCAGCCGCCTCCAGACACTCACACAGGACCATCACAGTCCTTCACTGGTTCCAATTTGAAAGAGAGGTAGAGGCTGGGTATCATCTGCATACTGATGAACACCCAGCCCAAACCCCCTGATGATCTCTCCCAGCGGTTTCATGTAGATGTTAAAAATCATGGGGGAGAGGACGAAGCCCTGAGGCACCCCACAAGTGAGAGCCCAGGGGTCTGAACACTCATCCCCCAACACTACTTTCTGGACACGGCCCAGGAGGAAGGAGCAGAACCACTGTACAACAGTGCCCCCAGCTCCCAGCTCCTCTAGACGGTCCAGAAGGATTGTCCATGACCAATGGTGTCAAGGCCTCTGAGAGATCCAGCAGGACCAGCTTTCACCTCAGTCCCGACCTGCCAGGAAGAAGAAGAGTTTGGATTTGATATCCCGCTTTATCACTACCCGAAGGAGGTTCAAAGCGGCTAACGTTCTCCTTTCCCTTCCTCCCCCACAACAAACACTCTGTGAGGTGAGTGGGGCTGAGAGACTTCAAAGGGGTGTGACTAGTCCAAGGTCACCCAGCAGCTGGATGTGGAGGAGCGGAGACGCGAACCCGGTTCCCCAGATTACGAATCTACTGCTCTTAACCACACACCACCAGCATTTAAATGCTGGACGGCATTTAGACAAGAATGGCACTGTGTGAATACTGCCACAAAGCTTTTATCTATTTAAATATCTTTATTATATTTCTATCCTAGCTTTTCTTCCTGGCAGGCTGTGTGCTCAAGACATTGATTCTATAAAACATATTTTGCTGCACTGTGTGAAATACGAGCAAGCTAGGGCTGAACTGATATTACCCTTGCTGGTACCTTTCCCGGGAAAATCAGAGGCTCAATATGTCAGTTCCTATTGGAAGACCAGACAAACGCTAGAACATTAGCAGTGGCGAAGTTTTTATCGGTGGTTGCAAGAACCAATGATCCCTATCTTTAAGTCTGAACAAAATGCTTGTTTAACCTGGAGGTAGGCTGTCTGAATTGTGCATTGCTTTTGTAACAATTTGTTGGGTCTCTGGACCGTAATAAAGATTGATTGATTGATTGATTTAATATCTTTTGTTATATTTTCTATCCCAGCGTTCCTCCTAGCAGATCAAGGTGGTATACACAATTCTCCCCTCACAACAACCCTGTGAGGTAGACCAGGCTGAGGGACAGTAACTGGCCCAAAGTCACCCAATGAGCTTCATAGCTGAGTGGGGATTTGAACCCTGGTCTCTGAGTCCCCAGTGAACTGCTGAGCGGAAACACGCTAAATCTCCACAAATAAAAGAGCTAGGGGAAAGAGAGAGTCTGAGAAACCACAGATTTTTCACCATTGCCTGTACAGTGGTACCTCGGGTTACATACGCTTCAGGTTACAGACTCCGCTAACCCAGAAATAGTACCTCAGGTTAAGAACTTTACCTCAGGATGACAACAGAAATCGTGCGCAGCGGGAGCCCCATTAGCTAAAGCAGTACCTCAGGTCAAGAACCGTTCCAGGTTAAGAATAGACCTCCAGAACGAATTAAGTTTGTAACCCAAGGTACCACTGTACACTGAAAAGCCAAGGCTCTTCACGGTTTCAGGAGCCTTTTCTAGCCTCACCCAGAGATGCCAGGTGAGCATGAGGCACTGAATCTCAGGGTCGAGGGTTCAAGGTCCTCGTTGGGCAAAAGATTCCTGCATTGCAGGGGGTTGGACTAGATGGCCTTTCATGGTCCCCTCCAGCTCTACAATTCCATGATTCTATGAAGCTGGAAGCTTCTGCAGTCATAGCATGTGCTCTGCCCCTGTGCTTCACCCCTAATGTTCACCTTTGAATCAGCTTTGAGAAGCAATTTCACATTCACTTGAGACTCGTCCATAGCCCTGATACATGACCATGAGGTAAAGGGGTTTCTCTCTATGGCTACATACACACCATACATTTAAAGTGGTTCATTGCTTCCCCAACCACCCCAAAGAATCCTGGGAACTGTAGTTTGTTTAAAGGTGCTGGGAATTGTAGTTCTGTGGTGGGTAGACGATTGACCCCAGCATTCTTCTGCTTGAAATGCATGTTGTGTACGCAAACCTTGTCTTTTCTAGACTCTGGGAATTATCTCCATTGATTTTATTTTTTTTTTTATAAAATTTTTATTGGTTTTAGAAACTTTTAAACAAAAACAAACAAACACCAAAAATGACAAACATACACGTATAGTTTCAAACATATTTTCATAAACTTCTTTCCTTTGACTTCCCCATACCCCCCCTCTCTGCATCCCAGTGTCCAAAGTTCCACTAGCAACTCCCAATTGTTATTTTCCAATCTCTATCTTCTTAGTTCTTTTTTTTTAAATTTCTAAACCTTATATCCCTGTATCCCTTTATTTCTGAGAACCGCAACATTTTAGCATTCATTAAGTTTATAGTAGTCCTTAAGATAACTTTTAAATTTCCTCCATTCTTCTTCCACCGTCTCTTTTCGTTGGTCACGGATTCTGCCTGTCATCTCAGCCAATGTCATATAGTCCATCACTTTCATCTGCCATTCTTCCAAAGTGGGTAGATCTTGGGTCTTCCAATACTTTGCGATGAGTATTCTTGCTGCTGTTGTAGCATACATAAAGAAAGTTCTATCCCTCTTTGTCACCAATTGGCCGGCAATGCCCAAGAGAAGGGCCTCTGGTTTTTTTCGCAAAGGTACATTTGAGTACCTTTTTGATTTCATTATAGATCATTTCCCAGAAGGCCTTAATATCTCCATTGATTTTAAAAGACTGCTATTTCATTTTTTTAAAAAGCTCTTCTCCAAATAAAAGCTGGATGAAATACAAAGCTATTTTAATTTATTCCTTGGTCCTGAGCAAAGGAGTGATTATGCCTGTTCAGCTGTTTTCAAGGTCAGCGAGTTCTGGCTACAATACAAGGCGGTGCAGGAAGAAGAAACTGCATCACAGCAAGGTTATTCAAGGTTTGCTTAGGAGTGTGTCCCTCTCAGCTTTCAAAACCCTACTAGCAGATTAGCAAGAACCCCTCAACGTCTGGAGGCAATCCAAGGGCCCAAACAAGAACAGTAAAGGTAAAGGGACCCCTGACCATTAGGTCCAGTCGTGACCGACTCTGGGGTTGCGATGCTCATCTCGCTTTACTGGCCGAGGGAGCCGGCGTACAGCTTCCAGGTCATGTAGCCAGCACGACTAAGCCGCTTCTGGCAAACCAGAGCAGCGCACGGAAACGCCGTTTACCTTCCTGCTGGAGCGGTAACTATTTATCTACTTGCACTTTGACGTGCTTTCGAACTGCTAGGTTGGCAAAAGCAGGGACCGAGCAACGGGAGCTCACCCCGTCGCGGGGATTCGAACCGCCGACCTTCTGATCGGCAAGCCCTAGGCTCTGTGCTTTAACCCAAACAAGAACAGATGTTATATCAGGAGAAAAAGAAAAGAAAGAAAGGAACTAATTCCAGATCATGTTCCTCGCTTTGCTAAACAAACTAGTTCAGTTTATGGCTCGAGTTCATCCAAATAATCCTCAGCCAAAAAAAGAAAATCAATTGAGGTGTCGACTTTACAGCAGTGAAGTTCAGAACGCCAATGACAAACTGTTCTCTTCTCCTTTTTTAAGACGCTGCCTGGAGCTCTGAACATCGGAGAGGACAGTGACGATGGCTGTCAAGAGCATCCTCAAAGACCCGCATCATATGCCTGTATGCTGCTGGGGGGATGCTAGATCTCCTACAGGCTTCCACTGCCCGCTGAAAATAACATCTCTCTGGCCATCTGTTGTTCATGCTTCCTGGCCCGATTAAATTAGTCCTTCACTCCAGCAAACCCATTAATAATATAAGGCCTAATAAGTTATTGTTGACTGAGCAGAATAGCAGGCTCCGGGTGGAAGCTGCAATTCTCCATGCGTCAGGCTACAAAGCCAACACACACATTACGATATGATAGGATACGATAATCTTTATTGTCATTGCCCCATACAAAACAACAAAACTGAAAAAAATGACATAAGGTAAAGGTACCCCTGCCCGTATGGGCCAGTCTTGACAGACTCTAGGGTTGTGCGCTCATCTCACTCTAGAGGCAAGGAGCCAGCGCTGTCCGCAGACACTTCCGGGTCACGTGGCCAGCGTGACGAAGCTGCTCTGGCGAACCGGCACCAGAGCAGCACACGGAAACGCCGTTTACCTTCCTGCTATAAAGTGGTCCCTATTTATCTACTTGCACCCGGGGTGCTTTCGAACTGCTAGGTGAGCAGGAGCTGGGACCTAACAACGGGAGCTCACGCCGCCGCGGGGATTAGAACTGCCGACCATGCGATCGGCAAGTCCCAGCGCCACCCGTGTTGTTTTGTCCCATACAAAACAACAAAACTGAAAAAATCTACATAAGACATTCAAAAACCAACAGGCCTGCCATCCCAGCTATCCCAACCTGGTTAGCCCCCTAAAAACTCTGATACCCCATTTTTAAATAAAATATACTCCCATAGAGACTCCTTACACTACATTTAAAACCAAAATCACATTTGGATAGAAACTGTTTCTCAGGTGGCTAGTCCTAGTCTTTATAACCCTGTACCTTCTTCCAGAAGGCAGAAGCTGAAAGAGATCATTTCCGAGGTGCGTACTATCCTGTGCTATCGCTGCAGCTTTCTTATGGCACCTGGAAGCATAGATTTGATCCAAGGTG